ACCGGTTTAGTCCTCGACCTATGACCGGTTGGGGGTCGCGGCATTAAAAAGGTTGAGAACCACTGTTTTAGAAAGTCTAGTCTGACTTCCAGTAGAATCAGCCTTCCTGTAATTTTAAGACCATTATAGTGGCACAAAGAATCAGGACCATACAAAAAGTGGTATTTCAGAAGATTTATTGCTCAGTGCCAAACACCCAGACTTTTTTTTTATAGATAGATATAAAAGAGGGACACTATCAGGGCTTTATTCCCTCTTAGAAAAAGTATCATCCTTTGCCAACCCTAGCAAAGCTTTTGATCCTAGCCTTACTTCTCCTTGCTTTCCCCCACCCCCCCAGTCAATGTGACCACCCAACAGCACCCAAGCTTGACTGAGAAACCCAAGGCGAGTCAAAGAAGCCGCAGAGACAATACTGAGTGGTGTTGATTTATTTATTAACTTGGATTCTGGTAGCTGGTGGAGAGGGAGGATGTTCTATACACTGGAGTGTGTGTGTATGGGGGGGGGGGGAGAAGGGGAATGGAGGGAAAACAAGAGGAGCCAAAAGGCTCAAATTTCCATAACAATAAAAAAGAAAGTAAAAGTAATTTCAAAAACTTCTAAAAAGCATCTAGAGTGCAGACACTGGCAGCATTCTCTAGGCGTCACCCTCCCTTTACAGCTCCTACTAGCGATCAGCGGGCAAAAGCAGCGCCCTCGCAGGCAGGCGAGAAGGACGCAGTTCACAGCTCAATTTTGTATTTTCTATGCACTACTGGAGGCCAAAAGCATGGGGGGGTGGAGAGGCCCACGCCGGAGTCTAGGGCGATGCCGTGTCAGCAATTTGGTGGGGGTGGGGAGGCCATACAGGCTGGCAAATCAAGGAGTGACCGGGGGGGGGGAGAGGGAGAGAGGAAATTTGATGCTGGAATTCCTTGCACGTCTGGATAGGAACAATTCGTCTCTCTGGGGAGACGCCTGGCATGGCTTTCAGTTTTTTCTCCAACCTTCACTGCCCTCCTCTCCCCCCCCCCTCCAGCCCTTCCTCCTCCTGGCTTGCTCTACCTGGACAAGGCCAGAACGGCAGGGACCCGGGCACGGGGGGGGGGGGGCTGAGAAAGTGGCGCTGCAGCCAGGGGAGAACGCCACACTGCCTGGGGTGACCACAGGGGACGGTCAAGGAATCAAAGATGGTGGCTGTGACAATGCCCCATCCGTGCTTCCTCTTGGCCATCACCTTGACTGCTAGGCCTTCCCCTGTGGGCTCCCCCGGCCCCTCGCCTCCCTTGGGGGCCTCCAAAGGTTGAAGCAGAAGTCAAAGGAGCCACCACCGATTGCTCACGGCAGTTGTCCCAAGAGCGTAGCTTGTTGGTGGGGAAGTGGGTGCAGAAGGGGTTCCTCCAAGCGTTAGGGGCAGCCAATCGTGATGGTGGGGGATGGAAGAAAGAGGAGGAAGAGGCGGAGGAAGAGGAGCATCACTCCCTCCATGCCAGGTCTGATCAAGGAAGTTGCTGGCGGGGGGGGAGGGCAGGGGGAAGGAATTCCGTTCCCCCCAGCTAGGACTGGTCCAAGAAGTATTGGCAGATGCCACGTCTGTGCTGAGTGAGGAGGCCCCTGGGGTCCTCCTGTACGGAAGTGCAGGCAAGGGAACAACACTGCCCTTCTCCTGAGCAACAGATTGTGCTGGGTGGAGCCAAGCCTCGGTGCACACGGGTGGCTGCACACTTCCAGCCCGGGGCCAAATTGCGGGAAGGTGCCACGACGCACACCCTTGGTGGCATGTCTTGGCAGAGGCTCGTGTACTAGCCCTTCTTCTTCTTTTTCTTCTCCTCCTTCCTTTCCCACACGTCTCTAACCACCACGCTGCTGCGTGTGTGAGTGTGAGTGGGTGTGTGGGCACGCCGGTGTGCGTGGGTGTATGGGTTCCAAGGAGACCGGGAGGAGCCGGGGAGACCCTCTGATCAGAAGACATCCAGGTTCTCCCCTCCTCTTGTTTCCTTCCCAAAGGGCTGGTTGCCTCTGGACGCTTCCAAGGACCGGAGCCGACCCGGGTCTGCCGAACGCCTCGGTCGGTGTTTGCATAGTAAGTATCTGTCCGTATTCTATACATGAGATCTCAGCAATTGCCCAAGTCACGCTTTCCGTCCGAACCTGGGAAGAACAACTGGGCAGAGTCGCCAGAAGGGCTCGGCGAGAATCCTTCTGGGGTTCCAGATGGATGGAGGGAGGCTGAGCAGAGAGGCAACCCAAAGGCTGAGCTGGGGAGGATGGGATGGCAAGTGATCTCCGTCCAGCTTCTTCTTTCTTCCCCAGGAGGCCAAGGCACCACGTCAAAGAAGGGGCTTTGGAAAGAAGGCCCCCGCCACACGCACACAAACACACAAAGACAATTGCATCTCTTTTTTTTTTTCCCCCTTCTCCTGGGGAATTGTCCCGGCCCCTCTCCTCTTGAAGTCAGGAGAAAGAACTGTAGCTCATGCGTCGGCAGTCGGTCGGTCATGCGGATTAAGACGGTAAAGTTATGTCTCTTACGGAAATCATGCCATTAACCTAAAGAGTCGCAGACAGCCCAGCCTCTGGAAGCTCGTTGCTCCACTCGCCTGGCCACGTGGAGAGGAACGAGGAGAGTGGAGGTTTAGTGGATGGGTGTTGAGGTGAAGCCCTGGAGAAGGAAGGAAGGAAGGAAGGGAGGGAGGGAGAAAGAGGAGAGGTTGGTACCGACATTCACACAAGACGCACCATGCGCCTCTGCTAAGGAGTCTGATCTACTGATCTTCTTCTAATGAAAAGAAGGACTGAGGGTGACATGACAGCAGCGTTCCAATATTTGAGAACCAACCTAAGGGACGATTTCCTAACAATGAGAACAATTCATCAGTGGAATGAATGGCTTGCCTTCAGAAGTTGTGGGTGCTCCTTCACTGGAGAATTTCAAAAATACACCAGACAATCATTCGACGGGGATAGTATTAAGGTCTCCTGCCTGTTATTCTGCTCTGTTAGCTATCTATCTCAGTCATTCCCAAAAAACTAGTGTCTTTGGAAGGAAGGCACAGAAAACATATAAGGAAAGGTTGATGGAATTGGGTGTGTCTAGTTTAATGAAGAGAAGGACGAGGGGTGACATGTTAGCAGTCTTCCAATATTTGAGGGGCTGCCACAGAGAAGAGGGAGTCAAGCTATTCTCCAAAGCGCCCGAAGGCAGGACAAGAAGCAACAGATGGAAACTCATCCAGGAGAGAAGCAACCTAGAACTAAGGAGAAAATTCCTGACAGTGAGAACAATTAACCAGTGGAACAACCTGCCTCCAGAAGCGGTGAATGCTCCAACACTGGAAGTTTTTAAGAAGAGACTGGACAGCCATTTGTCCGAAATGGTATAGGGTTTCCTGCCTGGACTAGATGACCTCCAAGGTCCCTTCCAACATTATTATTATTATTATTATTATTATTATTATTATTATTATTATTATTATTATTATTATTATTATTATTATTATTATTATTATTATTAAATTAAATTAAATTAAATTAAATTAAATTAAATTATTAATAATTAATAATTGCCATCACCCTTACAGGCTGGGTTGGCCTTACATGCCAGCCCCACCAAAAGTCTTAAGCCAAAGCGATGCCAACAGATGCTTTCGCATGCTGTACAAATGCATCGACTTGGTTTTAATCGGCTTGATGACACAAGGCTAGCAATGGAAAAGGGAAGCTACCTCAGTAGTTACTGAGGTCCATGCGTTCCACAGCTAAAGAAGGAGTCTCTTGCCAGCCCTTCTATTTAGGACAAGCCCCAATTTAGGGTCCAGCCTTTGGAAAAAGCGATGAGGTTTAGCCAACACAAGACAGACGCATGCCAAGCCCCCAAAAGGCACTGGGGAGCCCCGACCCCATCTGGGAAGCTCATGTACTCCTTTCAAAGGGCTCTTCAGAAAGGGAGACCTTTAGCCCAAAGACACTCCCCCCCCCACAGAAAGAAAACTCCCAACCCAGGGCCCTTTCAGGTTGCAGCAAGAGAAAAACACTGAAAAGAATGCCCATTCTTTTGCACAACAAGGACAGAAGACCAGTCTCAGCTGTGGCACAGAGTTGCTGGAAGCAGGCTAACTTGGGGGGGGGGGGGAGCCCTTTCTAGATCTATTTGACAGTGCAGCTTTGCATGCCACACACTCAAATTAGTGGTTGAAGTTGGCAAAAGGGCTAGAAAAGACGGGACTGGACCTCCCAGTCTCCCAGTTTGCAGTCTGGTGCCTTAACTACTAGACCAACCTTCAAACCGCTTGAATTCCATGTGGTTTTTTTCTCTCTCTTTATTATGCTCTCCCTACATGACCCTGGAAGCTAATGGGGGGCTGCTGGTCCCTCCCCCTCAATTGTGCACTGCCCTCCCCTCCCGGCCAGTATTAAGAGCAAAGGGGGCCATTTACCTCCAAAGAGGCCACTGGAGGGGGAGGGGTGTCACTGTTTCCCCCTTTTCAGGCTGGCGCGTTTCACTATCTGAGCCCCCATCCTGCCCCCAAGCAGTTCCGATCTCGGGAGAGCCCCTTCATCCTCGTCCTGGGGGAGACCAGCGTGGGAGAGAGAGAGAGAGAGAGAG